GTATATATCCTTGTACAAATAATGTGCATTTAATGCAAAGGCTGAACATTTAGATTTAATAGATATACCTTCCCCCCAAACAGACCATTACATTAAGGTTTTACAGTATATCACAAAAATGGAACCCATGAGTAAGTAATTCATTAACTGAACAGCCACAATAGAAAATTTAAGCTGAGTTCCAGTAGCAATTATGTTCTCTATTAGAATTGCTCCAAATACTAAATGTCTATGAGATTCTCCATCATCCAGGTCATGGTTGTCCCAAAGGTGCTTTTCATAAGGCAACTGGACTTTCTGTTTTTTCTTTGAAGATGTTTCACTTCTCATCCAAGAAGCTTCTTCAGCTCTGAATGTCAATGGAGATTCTCCATCATCCAGTTCATGGTTGTCCCAAAGGTACTTTTTCAAGAGGCAACTGGATTTTCTGTTTTTTCTTTGAAGATGTTTCACTTCTCATCCAAGAAGCTTCTTCAGCTCTGAATGTCAATGGAGATTCTCCATCATCCAGTTCATGGTTGTCCCAAAGGTACTTTTTCAAGAGGCAACTGGATTTTCTGTTTTTTCTTTGAAGACGTTCCAGAGAGTCCAGTTTCCACTTGAAAAATGTGCTCCGAATACTGTTTTTGTGCAAGTGTCTTGGCCCGAAATGCAGTCTTGGCAGTTTGGAATACAAATACATTCCTATTTCACTGGCACAAGGCGATACAATTTCCATCTGAGCTATTAAATAACATACTGTAATTTTAAAATAAAATGAGGGGGAGGAGATTGAATGTTACAGTTCATTGTAAAATCTTTTTTTTTAGTCAGAATATGAAACAGAAGAAACATCTGTTAAAATACATTTATGCCATGCTAGATTGAGGTTTCTATGTACCTTTCTGGCTATTTTGATATAAAATACGCTTATATAACAATGCTATGAAGCTGGTAAAAGACACTTGCGAGAAAAGGAAGAATGAGACTTGTTCAATTCATAAATCTGTGTTGCATTTTCTAAGGTAGAGCTAAGGTAGCTCTTCTTGGCCTCCTGTTTATTAATGCCCAACCATTGAATAGTTTTAATTGAACCTTTGAACTTTGCCGCGCCTGCAAGTATAGGCATTAGAGTGTTTTTGCTTTGAATGAGCTGGTGGTGGTAACACCGGAATAAGAATAATATCCTCTTGGTACCGCTAAAGATAATAAAAAGATGCTGACCTCAACATATGGGATGCTCTCCCATACAGCGGTGAAAATTGAATACCTATCACTTCCAAATAAATGCATCCGTAACACACTGGATTCACCAGCTGGCATCAAAGCAAAGGTCATCCTTGAGGAAAATGACACCCAAGGTCTGAAGGAGTCATCTGCTTTAAGAGATCCTGGGCCAAATGCCAGAGATCACATTTAAAGAGACAGTGTCTCCAAACTGCATTTCTTTAAAAAAAAAAAAATGAAAAATAAAGCAGGCAGGCAAAGAACAAGAGTTTCTTATTATTCATTCAATCTCACCTGTCTATCTAGATTGTGATGTTGGCATGCCACCTTGGAAGAGCATTAGATATTAGTTTTGCTGCTTAAAAGAAGTCTGTATATAGAAATGCACAAATAGTGTTTTGTTTTTTTTAAGGAGAGAATCAGTCGTTATGTGCTGAATAGAAACTTGGTAATTAGATCTAACGGTACAGTTTGGGTTTTAATTTTTTTTTTTTAAATAAAAATTCAGAGGTGCTCTCCCGAAGTAGATTTTTTTCTCATTCTGCTCTTTATACACTGCCCAAATTGGATTTATTTACAGCTAGGTCAGCTTACAGCAGTTTTGTGATGGAGTTCATTGGGAAACGTTAAATAGATGCTGATTTCAGCTGCAGTCTGTGGTTTCTTTGCAGAACAGCAGTTTTGGCTCGAAGGAGATTATTTTGGAGTAAAACAGGTTATGCAGTGCAGGTTTTAAAGGAGAGCTTTATTCCCATCTCTGGTTTGCTTCACAAATCCTTGTAAACTCTATCAAGATGTCATTTCCCCACCCCAGACATGTTTTCTCGTTGGTTCAATGGGTATGCATAGAATTGCTCTGGGTTTCTTGCTCTTTATTCCTTTACATTAGCATAGCTGATCCTTTGCAAAGGTAATAAATTTCATTTTATTGCCCATGGATTAAAAGTGCATACCTGCTTCCGTGCTCCCTTGTTCACTTTTGGGGGGATCCAGGCAATGTCATCCAAAAAGCCAAGCCACACACCCAGCCAAGAACAACCAATCCCTCCATTGTGGCCTTTTCAATTTATTTACACCTGTGGATAATCCCTGCTTTTAAAAAAAACTTTGCTTTTTTTTTTTTGTCTCTAATCAAAGATCTTTATTACAGTGTTTGGCCAGCCTTTACAATTAAAAACAGTACACTAAAAAGAGAAACAGTTTAACACAGCCATTTATTATGGGGAAAGGAGAAAATTAATAATACCAGGCCATACAGCCACAGATTTAATTAAAATTTTCACATAATTGTGTTACTCGGTAAAGATATTTTGTCACCTGATATGTGAGTGTAGTCTGAGCATCCCTTAAAAAAACAATAAACATAAAATTTATCACTATGGCTCTCGTGTTTGGAAAGGACTGAAGTGATATTTTATTTTGCTTGTTTTTCTGTCTCAAACTTTCCAAAACAATCCTTCAATTGATCATTATTTTTTTAGCAGGACACAATTTCAGAGGAAGAAATCTAGAGGTTTTGATAGTTCATGTATAGAATGTCCAAACCTTTGTTCATTAAAACAGAATGAACTGGGGTACCATTGCTGTTTTCTATAATAGCCTTTTCCAACTTGGCATTTGGCAGAAATGAATGAACCTAATTCCTATCCAGTTGGGCTGGTAATGGGAATGATGGAATTCAATTCGAGAATTGAGATGGGCAGCTATAGAAATGGAATAAATAAAACAAATGAAATGTTCTTTTCCATTGTGAGGTTGTGGATGCCTGATTTAAAACCATGACTTACTCCCTCTCTGCATAACAGATTCTCGGATCCAAATTTGCAAGTCCGAATATATTTGCAATAAGGAAGTCCCATTAGAAAGAATTAAATTTACTATTGAATAAATGTCCTGAGCTCCGCTGAGTATAAAAATAAACCAAGTTTAGTTTTGATTCTTTTTTTAAAAAAGATCAGGATTTCTTTTTATTAAATAATCAGGATTTATTGTTACTTTATAAACATATTTTATTACCATTATTATTATCTGGATAATCTGTATTGAGAGTTACTATCTAAGGATATCGAATTTCCATCCATGTTGCTTTGTTCTTGTCTTATACATTTTCACTGTTATGATTTCATATATAATTCTAATCCCCATTCTATAAATCTTAATTTTGGGTCTTTCTTTTTTTGTTCCAACCATCAATAAAATTTGTCCTTATATTTGTTAAATACTGAATAGACCAATTGTAAATATGCATGGTGGTTATAATATTTAACTTTGTATTCTAGTATGTATGGCAAAGACATTGCCAGGACGGTTACAATGTGTCCAATGTTTTAATGTGTGTTTAATTAAAAAAACATTTTAATAAAAAAAGAGAGTTACTATCTAAGACTAGTGAAAATTTAATAATTCAAGTCCTAACTAAGAACCTAAGAATGATGAAGATAGCACCTAATAATATAGCCAGTTTTAAGCAGGATTTTTTTTTGTTAAAATTAGGATGTTCAGGTCTGAAAAATTATGATTCATTATAAATTGTTATTATTATTTCAATCTATTTTTTATTAAATTAGGTATCCAAGAGAATCGTCTACAACGGTGATGTGAGAGTTTCCTGTTGCCTGGAGCCTGATAAGGTACAATTTTATATTTTTATTACAAACCTCTGCTTATTAGTATTATTTTTCTGGGGTATTTTGGGTGGAGGGAAGCTATTTACCAGTATATTTTTTCCCTGTACTTTAATGTTATCAATTTGCTAGTTTCTCTTTAGCCATTAGAGATGCCCTTAAAAAAAGCATTCCTGATATGTCTGCGATCTTGTACAGATGTTGCATGTGAGACAGTCCCTATAAATAAATAAAAAGTGATGAGTGCCTACATACGCACATGTACTGACGCATGCCTTTCAGAATTAACCGTGACTCTGGGAATCATGTGGATTTTTGTTTTATTTATGTAACGGATTTTTGTCAACTCCCACAGTCCATATGATGCTGTAAGCTGCAGCTGGGTGGCCTGCGGCAAACGGAAGTAGTGTACCAACTAAGAGCCAGAGCAGTAACAAAATGCAGGAATACTAACTACCGTGTTTTTGACACTCAGGACACACGCATACGTTAACACTTTACTTTTATTATTATTAATAATTTTATCCTCTTTATATATTATTTATTAATTTTTTTAACCTCATCTTTATCAGCATCCTATATGTGATATATACCATGTTTTCCCGAAAATAAGACCTCCCCGGATAATGAGCCCAATCAGTTTTTTGAACGCATGGGCTAAAATAAGCCCTCCCCCAAAATAGCAACCATAAGGTGCCCATGCTCACCACCACCTGCACATCAAAAATAATAAGATCTCCCAAAAATAAGGCCAAGCACTTATTTCGGGGGGGGGGGGAACATGGTGTAGATCCTATATCCATGACGACCCTATGGCACACGTGCCAGAAGTGGCACACAGAGTCCTCTCTGCGGGCATGCATGCTGTTGCTAGCTGCTCTTCCGGTTTCTGTCGCACCCCTGTCCGCCAGCCAGTTGGTCCGACGTGTATACGCACCAAGCAGCTGCTCTCTTCTGGATTCTGTTACGCACATGCAAACCAGCCAGCTGGTCTTTGTGTGCGCTCCAGTTTTGGTACTTGGTACTTGGCCAAAAAGGTTAACCATCACTGTCCTATATCTTAGTCGTTCAGTCTTCTCTAATGATTAATAGTGGGAGCTTTTAAACATACAATATTTTGGTTGTGCTGTCTTTCTGCCACCCCAAATAGTATTTAGCTTCTGTTGCTTTGGCCTGTTGGGGAGGGAAGTCTAATGTAGTGCTTTTCCTCCTGATTCATAGAGCTTGGTCAAAGGGCAGCATCCCATCACTGGAATAGTCTTGTTGCAAATTTAAGGGGTTGAAGAAAGAAAGAGCTACTTGCGCTCTAAGTTATGCCTAAGTATAACTAAGAGGCTTGCTAACTTTACACTGTACCCTCAATGCAGATCCTCGCCCTAAACTATTGGCTGCCTTCCCAGCACCATCCTTCAGTTGCTTTTCTCCCTTTCTGTTATTTGTATTTTGCTTTGGAATGAATCTATATAAGAAGCTGTCTGACTATGTACAGTATTATCCCAAAGTGGCTTTTTTGTCTGGAGAATTGAAGCAGCTTCTTGGATGAGAAGTGAAACGTCTTCAAGAAAAAAAAAACAAAGAAAGTCCAGTTGCCTCTTGAAAAAGCACTTTTGGGACAACCATGACCTGGATGACTGAGAGTAAGTGTAAAGCAATATGCAAGGGAGATGATTTGAAAAGAACAATAGGGAGAGAGTACTAATACGGAGGGAGGGAAGGAGAGAGAGAGAGAGAGAGGGAGGGAGGGAGCACACTCAGAGACAGACAGACACAGAGAGATGGAGAGAGAGAGAAAGAGAGAGATGCACATGCACTCAGAGAGAGGGGGGGAGGGGGAGGGAGGATCTCCAGATATATATTTGAATGATTGCAACGTTAATTGAGAACTGAACCCTCCCTCCCCTCTCCCCTCTCCCCACCGCACCCCATTTTACCCATGTGCATTCAGCAGTTGCGGTTTCTGCCAATATGGAGATGTATGTGTAGTATTGAATTTTTGTGGATTTATGCTAGCAAAAGAAAAGCGGAGAGGAACTTCACATGCAAGGAACATTTATTTCTCAAGGGTATTTTTGATCCCCAGATCAATCGGCTTTTAGCCTGCAGAGCCTACAGGTTAGTCTGTCCGCCCGTATTGCTCTACCCAAGACTGAAGATCAGATGCAGCGTTGTTGCTCTTCTTGTTATCAAAAATTTGACATGCACGATGCTCCCTGCCAGATCCCCACAAGGAAATTCAATGGGGAAATTGGCAGATAGTCAGAAGTCACTCCTGCTCCCACTGCTTTTTTGCCTGCCCAGTTCTCTTTTTCCATTTAGGAAAGGAAATATCTCAGAAATTATGATCTAATAGGGCATGGATTGTCCGGTCAAATATATAAGCATTGAATCTGGCAAGAATTTATTTATATAGTCTTCTGCAGGGATTTATGATTTTTTAAAATTCTCATATCATTTTTTGTTTCTCCTCACACAAATCCACACATTTCTCTAATGTTTCAGAAAGACAGAAATCCTACTGGCAAGATTGGCTAAAATGTATAAAAATAGATCTGCCAAATGTTGGAAGTGTAATCAACCGCTAGGTTCATACTATCATATGTGGTGCACCTGCCCAAAAGCTAAAAAATATTGGATGAAAATACATACTTGGATGAAAAAAAATGATAAGGCAGTATATTAATTTTAAACCTGAGATATTTTTGTTGGGCATTCTACCAGAAAAATATGATAAAAAGACCATATATCTGGGTTTACATATATTAACTGCAGCTAGAATTGTATTTGTGCAACAATGGAAAAATGATGAGATACTGTAAGATGTGAGTGTAATTAAGAAAATATTAGAATGTGCAGAAATTAACAAATTAATGCTCATTATTGATAAAGAAGAAACTGAATATTTTCTGATGTGGGATGTATTTTATCAATGGTTAGACAATAGAAACAGAAGTCAGAAAGGAGGAAATATAAAAAAGAGGCAATGTTAATGTGGAGAGAATTTGATGATGAACATGATACGTATTATTGTAATTATATTGATATATAGTTATACTAGGGACACAGTGGCTTAGTGGCTAAGACGCTGAGCTTGTTGATCAGAAAAATGGGTAGTTCGGTGGTTCGAATCCCTAGTCCTGTGTAACAGAGTGAGCTCCCGTTACTTGTCCCAGCTTCTGCCAACCTAGCAGTTTGAAAGCANCTTAAAATTGTTTTGAGGCTGCAGATCAGAATTTGAACTGCCGGGAATAAATCAAATCCTTAAGAGTACGAAAGCAATTTCGGGAAACTTTTAGTCAGCCCCTTAAGAGGCAGGAAAGAGTTGGGATATTCTTTGGAACAAGACCCATACAGCCTCCCTCCCTTCCCCGCCTCTCTCTCTCTCTCTCTCACTCACTCACTCACGGTTCTACATTTCTGGTAGATTTTGTTTCCTCTGATTTTTAACGTGTTTGTAAAAAGCCTAGGTGTTGCTCTTCCTTTCCCTTTTTTTTACATCCCTCAAATGAGTTTTGATGGATGCAAATTAGTATAAATCAACTTAAATGAGTGGCAGGGGAATAATCTCAGCCACTGTTCATCTTGGTGCAAAGCTGCATTTCTTTAATGCTCCCTTTTTGATTCAGCCCCCAGCAGGTTAACTTCACAAGACTTCCTGTGCTATAAACCCTCCTTTACTAAGACTGGCCCTTGGTCACCAAGTCAGATATAAACAAGCAAAGAACATGAAGGTTTCCATGATATAGAAGACAGTGAATTGTGTTTTTTTTTAAAGAGAGAGCTAGCCTAATTCCCATGAGCCCAGAAATTTAACTGAATTGTTCTTAAGTTAGTTTTCACAATTCAGGCAGCTTAAACCAATCAGCTTTTCAATACAACTGATAGTTGTGGTGAAAAATTTTAAAAAAGAGGAAACAGAGTTAGGTATCCTTTTTGAAGCTCTATTGAGTAGATTCCTCCCAATAGTGACAAAGCCTTTTTAAGTCAAGCTCAACTCTTTCTGACTAATTCCATTTTTGTAGGAACAATATAATGGCTTTGTCCTTACACTTTCTGGAAAGCTTTTCTAGCCTAGCCTAGCCTATGGCTCTGAAGATTCCACTGAGTGATAACCAGGAAACACCTGGTTTGTTGTTGTTAGTTGCAAAATCGTGTCCAACATTGCGACACCATGGACAACATTCCTCCAGGCCTTCCTGTCCTCTACCAGGCTCTGGAATCCATTTAAGCTCATGGTGACTTCATCCAGCCACCCCATTCTCTGTCGTCCCCTTCTTCTTTTGCTCTCAATGTTTCCCAGCATGAAGCTCTTCTCCAGGGAGTTCTTCCTTCTCATTAGGTGGCCAAAGTATTTGAGTTTCATCTTCAGGATCTGGCCTTCTAAAGAGCAGTCAGGGTTGATCTCCTCTAGAACTGAACAGTTTGATCGCCTTGCAGTCCAAGGGACACTCGCAGGAGTCTTCTCCAGCACCATAGTTCAAAGGCCTTAATTCTTTGGTGCTTAGCCTTCATTAAATTTCACAGCCGTACATTGCAACTGAGAAAACCATAATGCCTGGCTAACACTGGTCAAGTAAGGTTGTCATCTTTACCCAGCTACTGTAGTAATCAGCAAGAGGAAACCAGTTAGTAGAGGAACTCCCGTCTAAAGGCAAATATATATGTCCCAATCTGTGTCGGTCACTAGGACCAGAGGTACTATAGTCTTCCTAATCAGACTCGTTCTCAGGAAGCTTTTTTCTCACTTCTGTTCAGAGAGAAGTTTCCTGAGAATGGACTCGCAGCACAAGTCCAAAAGCTTGGAAGTCTAAACCTCTGATTCTGATTATCAACCTAGATTGGGTTGCTTCTGAGTAGAACAATAGCATTGGTGGTCTTTAAGAGCATAGCAAATAAGATGGTTTAGTTATTGAAGTCATTCATATTTTGGCTTGCCAAATTACATCGAATCATTAAGTCATTGACATGTTGAACCGCAAAGTCAACAAACCAAGGTTGCAATAAACCATGCTTATCATATTGTGCCCATGTGGTCTGCAGTGACATGAGCCAATTTGCCAATAACCCAGCCAATTTGATTTCTTTTCTTTTTTTTAGATTTCTAAAGCACAGCTTAGGGTACATCTTGGTTTTTTTTAAAAAAGGAGTTGCTCTATTTATAAAGGGAGGCTTTGTGCTTATGAGTTGGCTGTTGCACATTATACCGTAATAAGAGGGTGCCTTTTCTTTCTTTCTCCCTCTGTTTTCACCAAGGATGAAACAATTCCTGCAAGGATGGTGGTAGTCATGATTTGGTTAGACCAGATCCACTAAATGTTATTCTGTCTTATAATACTGGACAGAAGGCTGGAGGAAAGTGCTAATCTCAGGTTAACTATACTTGCAGGTTAATTCTTTCTGATTAAACACCAAGATCTATCTATAAGTCCTGATGTAAATCCCCACCACCACCACTTCTGAGATAGCGGTCTATTTAATATGTTTCTGTCAACCAAGGTAGACCAGATGAAGAAACCAATGCCATTTAGGTCAGGACAACTTTTTATTGTA